AGCATTCATCCTAAGTCCTTCAGAGTTGTCTTGGATCACTGTATTGCCATTTATGGCTGATCCAATATTGCTGTTACTTTGTACATAGTACACTTCAGAAAGGGGAATCTGAAAGAGGGATTTAAAAGAAAAAAAGGATAAGAACCCATGACTGGGCTTTGGGTGAGGGAAAGAGAAGAGAGGCAGGAGCAGAAGCTGATTGCAGCAAATAGAGATGCCAATGTAAAAATACACCACTCTCTCACTACCCTCTTTTTTATAAAGAGGGGTTGGGAAACAAAGAAAAGGAAAACTATATGATAACAAAGAGGGAGGGAAATACACAATGATCTGAATCAGATAAATTCACCCATAAAATGGATTAGAAAGCAGAATCCAAAAATACATTGCCAACAAGACACACCCTTGAAAATATAGATCGGCACGATTAAAATAAAGCACTGGAACAAAATCTATTCATGCTTCAGCTGAAGTAAAGACTAAGAACTCTGATCAATTGAACGACCAACTACAATTCCAGAAGTCCATCTTCTGACCAGGGTGATGGACCAAGGGTGGAAAATGAAATACATATTTTTAGACATGGCAAATGTGAGAATTTGTCTTGCTTGACTATGCATATGTATTATGAGAATTTTGTTTTCCTTTTTTTTCAGTGGTGAGGGGGAGGAGAGAAAAATCAATGTTTAACTGAAAAAAGGAAAGAAAATAAAAGTTAACATTAATAAATCAAACCTTGTTTCTTCCCATATGACAATAAAATCTAGTTCTTTTGATGGTCAAACAGCTGGTTAAAGTGGAGTAGGATGAAATAACTCAGGGTCACACCTATTCTTAATATGCAAAGAGAATATGATTGCTTTTTAAAGAAACCAGAACCCAAAGAAACATTTTATAAATTTTATTGAATTACTTTAAAAAACAAATACAATTGTTCCAAATACTTGCAGTACTTATTCCATGTTTCTTCAAATTTAACCGATCTGAGATTCATGATTTATAACACTCAAGTTTCAGTGTTATGAAGCCCATTTACATTCTTCTTTCCAGAAGTAAAATAATTTTCTGACATTTCATTTAATGTGACACAAACCCAAGCGTTTAAGAAAATAGTAAAAAAAAAAAATCCAGATATAACTATGTCCTCCCTAAAAGTCTACTGCAGACTGCAAAAGCATAAACAGGGCATTATTTTTATTATTATTATTATTTTTTTTTACAAAATAGTATCAGTGATAAGTCCAGGTATACTCCTTTATATCCCAAGTTCTGAGTCTTAAATCTCAGAACGAAGTCAAGGAATTAGAATTATTTTTCTTATTAGAAACTGAATTGGATTATAAAGCTCATAAAAGTTGCTGGCCATAAAAAGCAGCTATGATGTAAATTTCTATACACTGTCCTGTTGATAGCTTTCCAAGAGAAGGAAATTCTGGGCCAATTAGGAAGTATTGCACGGAAGACCTGAATTAATCAGACTGAGAGGTACAGAAAATTTAAGATTTTAATCAATGACTTGGTTATACATATATACTAGAGTATATATGTATAAAGATTCACAAAGATCTTACCAGGCTTGAACAGGTGAGATTAATTGAGATTGATGGAAATAAATGTTATGACTCATATGTGGGTTAAAAAAAATAATTTGCTTAAATGTAAGATGAAGGAATTATGACCAGATAGATAATTCCTTTGAAAAAAGACTTTGAGGTACATGGTCTCGAGATATAAGTCAACCATGTGACTACAGCAGCCAAAAAAATCCAATGCAATTTTAGGCTGTATTAACTGAAGTACAGTGTTAAGCAGTGGGGTGGCAGGCAGTGGTTTACTTCACTTTATAGTGGTGAGATCCCATACAGAATACTAAGGATACTGACAAGCTAGATAGAGCAAGGTTACCAGGAAGATAAGGTGACCAGAAACCATGTTATGCATACTTAGACCGGAGAAAAGGCGGCTCAGATTTACGGCTGGAAAGGATCTTGGAGATCATCTAGTCCAACTCTCTCATTTTACAGATGAGGAAACTAAGGTCAAGGGAGGCTATTAAATGACTTGTCCAAGATCACATAGATAGTAACAGCCATAATTTGAATCCAGGTCCTTTGACTCTAAATCCAGTACTCTTTCCACTATACCACAGAGAAGACAAGGACTGCTGTCCCTTGTGAACTGTTATGATAGAAAAGATGTTAGATTTCCTTTGATTAGTCCCAGAGGGCAGAACTAGGCATAATGACTGTAAGCAGTAGAAATGCAGATTTGGCATAAGGTAAAATGTCATAACAATTAGAGCTCTCCAAAAAGTATAGCATGTTGCCTCAGGAGATAGTTCCCCAATTACTGGAAGTCTTCAAGCAGAAAGGAGATTACCCCTTGTTAGGAGAGTTGTAAAGGAGGTTTCTGCTAAGGTGTGTACTGAAGTCTCCTCCCCACTTTGGGACTTTATGATTTTATAAAATCCTATTAGGATTAAAAATGGGAGATCACGTGAATTACAAAATAGTTTTTAAGGAAATGAGATTATTTTGCCATTTTCAAACATTCAGTGACTAGGTTAATAATATAGGATGATCAAATGTTGGAAGAAGTGCAATATTAGGGAATACAGTAAAAGTAATTTGTCATTATTCTTGAATATTATTAGTGTCGTAAGGTTAAGTCTCTCCTTTCCATCTTCTTTAGATTGTTTATCAAAACTTTTCTTTACTGAGTACTAAGCTATATCACCTGAATTACCACAAATTCCCATCAAGTGAAATTCAAATGAATGAGATTTTACAGAAATTTTTATTATAAATCCTCAAGTTTTCTAATTCTCATAGAATTAGAATGGTTTTTATATTATTTAACTTAACAGATGCAGAAAATCATTCCTAGCATAGGAAAGTTTTGTTTGTTTTGGCTAGGCAATGGGGTTAAGTGACTTGCCCAAGGTCACACAGCTAGTAAGTGTCAAGTAGCTGGTCTGAGACTGGATTTGAACTCAGGTCCTCCTGACTCTGGGGCAAGTGCTCTATCCACTGCGCCACCTAGCTACCCCATAGGAAAGTTTTGGATTCAAACATGAATCTCCAGCATACAAAATCTGAGGCAATGTGATTATTCACAGTACAAAGAAGGTTTTAAAAAAATAGGTAGAAGAATTTGTATGAGGATCCTTTAACTTTCTCATTGGGAGTCTCAATGATAGAGCTCTGATTATTTTGACAAATCAGAAGGAACAAATCCGTAATTGAAGTAAGCTTGACAGCTACTGGATGAGACAAAGGGAGAATTTTTAAACTTTAGCACTCAAAATAAACTCTGGAGAAGTAACGAGAGTTGATTCTGACATTTCACTGTTCTTTTTGTGGCTAGCCCTGTGTTAGGAGTTAACTGATGGAGTATTTAAAAAACAGACACTAGAAAGGATCAGAAAACACACCTTTCTAAGTTTCTGGGCAAGGTCCTGGTAGTACTGAATCTACAAGAACAGGGGTGGCTATAAACCCAAAAGGAAAAGATGCCACTTGTAACAGTTTTGAAGTGAGCTATTTTCACCTTAAGAAGTAAGGTAGACCTCAAAATAGCCAAAGCCCAAAATGAAAGGTTTTCTGGAGGGTTTTGGGTTGTTTCACCCTGACAGTTTTTACAATAAAACAGCAGGAGTAAAATTTACATAAGATTATGGCATTATTATCACAATATCTATTTTCCTGTTTAGGTGTCCTTTTTTTAAACATGTAGAGTTCCCTTCCCCCCATGTGTAGGAACACATGACCAAAATTCAAGTATTAAGCCAATGGGAAAATATAATTTGATTTACAAAAATATACATTTATATGCAACTTTTCCAGAAATGCACCTATTACATAATACAAAGTATACTTTTAGTCTGAATTAGATTATAAGAATTTGCAAATCTTTTGATGACAGAAAGATGATTTTTGTCAAAAATTCTTGTTTTTTGGTCTTTTAAATGACAGGTACTCAATAAACAAGAAGTTTTACTTAGATAACTTTATGCAATAGCTAAGTCAAACTTGGGTCACATCTATATAGCACCAAAAGCCATTTAAAAACTCATATTAGTCATTATTGGTGGGTTTTAAAATACATATAATTAATCATATGCAAACATATTGGAAGTTATCTTTGGATGATAAAAGTAATCTGTTAATTCTTTTTTAAAGCTTTAATAAAAGCTCTAAAAAACTTTAACCCCAAAACAAAAAAGATGACCACACTGAAGTTTGTGGTTGGACTATAAAACTTACAGTCTTAGAAAATAAAATCTTTGGTGTAGCAATGAAGTATCTGGTCAATTAAGCCAATATAAATTTTAGAGCATGAGGGAATCGCTGAAATGTATTCAAAGTTTGCTAATGGGGTGCTGATTTTTAGAAAGCAAGCATCAGTATCCTCCCTTAACATAGTCACTTATTCTTTCATGGAAAATAGTCTACATTCAAACAGGTACACATTTATCTTTGAAGAGAATTCAAGAGAAATATTTTTTCCCCCAAATTAAATATTGAATTACAATATGGCACTGGAATGGTACTAACTGGAATGGCTCAACACAGTAATACTCTAAATAAACAGAACATGTGAAAAAGACATTTCTGTAAGTATGATACAAAAATCCAGGTAAGATCAATGTATACTATCTACCTATAAAATTTTTAAACCTTAGTGAAAGTGGGGGTGTGGAGGGAGAACCTACACGTTCAAAAATAACTTTAGTGACTATATATATATACCTACATACATACATCTGAGAACATAAGTGAGGAAGGCTTGCTAAAATGGCATTAGGTATAACTCACCAATACCTTTCAGTGCAGTATTCTTCTACTCCTAGCCTAACTTCCAATCTTGGTGGAATTGTGCAGTCTTTTAAATACATAGTGCAATTCAAAAATTGACTAGTGATTTAAAGAATAGCCTGGCTAATCTAAAAAGTAATTAAAAGGCCTATAATCATAAATAACTAATAGCCAGACAGACTATTATCCACAGTTCTAGATTTTATAAAACCCTGGACAAAGGAAAACATCACAATTATGATGAGAGAAGCCTTAGTCCATAAGTTAAAAGGATTATTCTTGGCTTATTAGATAGTCCAGAGCAAATACAAGGAGCAGATGATATAATGCAACAACAAAGTTTAAAAGACAAAATACTAAAAACTCAATTTTTTTCTTTAGAAACTCCCTCTAAAAATGTTATAACCCTCAATTATGAAGTAGAGGTTAACTAGACTCCTTACTTACTAAACTTTTTTCATTTGTTTATATATTTGGCTACTTCATTGCTTCAAGGGCATCTCAGAGATAAGTGAATCAAAAGCAAATTCTCTTGTGTGGGTCTTGATTCTTGGGTCTCTAATCAATCAGATCATCTAAGCAAGTGGCTTCCTCTCTTCCTTGGGGTGCTTTTATAGCAAGTGGAAAACTTTTTTTCATGAGAAGAGTTATTTTTGCACAGTATGAATATAAAAGAGGAAGAGGAAAAATAAATATAAAAACTAGACAATTACCAAAAAGAACAGTAATTTTTCTTACTGACTGGCAAAGTTACAGTGTTGAGTAAATACTGTTTGCACAGTTATATATGGCTGGCTTGACATTTCCTACCACACTGTATGATATCTAAAATAATTTGCAAAAATGCCTATTTCAAATTTACTAACATTTGGCCATTAGATTACATGGAAACATTAATAGGTCCTATTATCTATAATTTGGAGGTATTCAATAACGAGGAATTCCTCTGTTATCCTAAATAACCAAAAATAAGTTAGTAAGTTGGATATGTTTTTATAGAAGAATCTACAAAATGCTTTCCTATGCAGACATTCCTAGAATTCATTCACTGAGGGAAGTGTCTTTACAGCAAGTATGTCTACCACACTATCTGGAAGAAAAACTACCATTAGCTTGAATTTGCTTGTGTTTTTGAATAGTTATGTAACATGAAAAGGCTGACAGCCTTGTCTGAAATACATTTGAACGTGTACTATTTTAGACATTTCAGATCAGAGAGCTCGTACTCTGGAATGTATAAAAAACATATTTTTTTTTCCCTAGAAGATTTTGCTCTTAAAAGGCTATATTTTAAGTAATGTGTTTCTAAATTCTGGCATTCTCTCTTGTAAGAGAGAACCAGTTTATTGCAGGCACACATTCTAAAAATGGACACATTTTAAGATTAATCACATGAAAGCTTAAGTGCCAAGTGTCTAAAAAAAGTCACGGCAACTGTAATAACTGCAAATGTCTGCAGTGTCCCTTTTCAATAAAAAAATTATTCTAGAAATAATTAATTGTTCCACTTAATGACTTTCCCAACTTTCTCCTTTGGGTTTCAAAGGGAATCAGCTGGGAATCAAATGGATTCTTCTTTACCCAATGATTCCTTACAAGCAAGTACTTTTAAACTGAACTAAAATTGATTTGAGCAGAAAGCAGAAAAAATGTTCCGAAACATAAAAAAGATCATCTACTACTGATTTTACATTATTTGATGCTGCTAACATCTCACAGGGGAAAAAAACGATCTATACAGTATATATATAAAAAAAGGAATGAAGTTTCCAGTCTTTTCCCTTCTACCTAGGCAAATTTTAAATCTGAAATCAACATGAAGGCCTTGGTGACCTTTTGAAGTCTTCCAAAGTTGGTAAATTTACTGGTGGTCTCCTTCAACTCGTCTCTTGCGAACTGTAAGAATAATTTAAGAATGTATCTCAGAAATTAATAGTTTTCATAATATTAACCTTTTAGAAAATAAACAAGCTACTGTCAAGTATTAGTGTTACACTACAATTTAGTTTTTAATATTTTCAATTCTAAATTTTCACTAAAATTTAAGTTTTTGCATTACCTACCTTTCTAATTTACATATTGAGCTTGGAAGAGTATTCAAACAATGTTACTACAATATTTTATAGACCCTTTGCTTAAATGTGTATATCACCAAAGAAACTTTAGAAATCTAAAAATAAAATCAGTCAATATTTCTTAGGTTAATATGTGTAATTTTGTAGTGTGTTTCCTACCTTGTTTTCACTGTCAAAGATCTGAATCCTTAACATATAACTTGTTAAACATGCAATATACTCCTTAAAGGATTCATAACCATTTTTAAAAACTTGCTTTTTAGTGGATAAGTAACTATCTTAAAACAATCAAGTAAAGATGACACTCAGGCAGATGAAATAAAGGAGTAGTGACATGCTCTTTTGTTTACAAAGTACAATGAATTTACTTAATCTAGAACAGGAATACACTAAAGACACACATTTTATCTTTATAGATAAAACTTTTCATTGCTTTCCCTACTTTCCTCCCTCTGTGTCTTTCATATAAAATGAACCAGTTTAAAATTAATTACAAAATAGCTAAAATGGGGCAGCTAGGTAGACACTCACTAGCTGTGTGACCTTGGGCAAGTCACTTAACCCTATTGCCTAGCTTAAAAAAAAAAGAAATTTAAAAAAAAATAGCTAAAATAATTTAAGACCTCTTCCCAGTTTATGGACTTTGAGATTTCAAGGTCACTTTTGGCTGCCATAATCTTTGTCCTGACAGCTGGATTTTACAAAACAGCTCAGCTGCTGAAGGCAGAGGGCTCTGGGTTATACCACTAAACTAGCTAAATGATCTTAGTTGAAAAAAATCATAAGCACTTTTTTAATTTTTATTTTTAGTTAGGCAATTGGAGTAAAGTGACTTGCCCAGGGTCACACAGCTAGTAAGTGACAAGTGTTTGGTCTGAGGTCACATTTGAACTCAGGTCCTCCTGACTTCAGGGCCAGTGCTCTATTCACTGTGCCACCCAGCTGCCCCCATAAGCACTTATGAAGTGCCTATCATACACCAGGCACTCTGCTAGACACTAGGTGATGGATACAAAGACAGAAATGAAACAGTTTAACTTCTCTGGGACTTTCTTCATCTGTAAAATAAGGATTTGTATTAGATGATCATGAAGGTCCTAGCTATCATTCTTTTCTCTTCTCTCCCAAAAGTGTCAAGACTCTCCAGTGTGACAATGCATAAATGACTGAGAGCAGGCTGAGGTCTTCAGGAAACCAGAAGCTGTCAGTCAGTCAGTCTGTCTCTCTCGGAAGGGAGGGCTCATTGGTCCAAACTTCTGGCATAAGGCAAAATTTTATATATTGCTATGATAGACAAAGAAAGGCCCTAGCCTCCTGGTTAGTAACATTTAGTTTTAAGATTCATTTAACAAACTGCTTTGTATTTTAAGGATTATCTTTTCATTCTTAAATTAGTAAATTCTTGTGTTAAACTAGCCTGTTAGTCTCTTGTCTTTAATTTTTCATTCTTCCCTCCAAATAGAAGCACAGACTATTTACAGATAAGAGTCAAAGGATGATTTACCTTGCTCAAATAAGGAAAGCAAGCAGAGTAAATGGTGGTCTTATGCCTTATTTGCTTTTCTTAAAATGGTTTTTGCAGAAATTAAAGAAAGCCAATATATGCAGCTGATCTAATGGTCAGGACAAAGGTTCTGTGTTTCCTACTTAATGTTACATGAAGTTAACACCTTCTTCTTCCCTACTGTTGGGCTCAGGGAAGAGGTCAGGTGATTCTAATACTTCCAAAGGCATTATGAGACTGCCAAAAAGGAAAATAAAAATTAGAAGATCTAATAAAGTTCCTTATATTCAGCAAGCAATCAATAAGTACTATTGTAGGATGATGTATATCTCACATTTTGCTTAGTGAAAATGAATTAATTCCTGTTCCTGATTGTAACTTCCTAATCTTAATGAATACTAAAAGTTAGATTATGTAATAATTGGGCTTTTATGGAAAAATAAAAAAATTTTAGAATGTTCAAAATAAAAATAACTTCATTAACACGTGATCTTAAAAAAATACAGAAATGTCTAAAAAGCAAACTACAGGTTAATTATCTCATTTTAGAGTTCAACTTCTATACTTTTAAGAAATAAGATTGTGGAACTGGTTCAGGTGAAATGGAAGTACCATTGCAGTCTAACCTACTTTTAAAACATATGGCCAAGATTCATGTAAAAAGGCAAAGGTGAGAGACAGAAGTAAAGTGCAGTAAAGCAAAATATGTGAGAAACTGATGACAAAGACAGTAGATCAAAAAGTGAGTATAAAGACAGATATGAAACTCAGAGTTCAGTGGCCATTTGGGTGAACTCCATAACCTTTTTGTCGCTGAAGCCCTGAAACTTCTTGGCTGGAGAGATGGAAAAAAAATACGCAGGAATATTTCTGAGTACTTCAGACTAAGAAACTGGGAGGAAAAAAAAAACATATCAAAATCAGGTAACTGAAAAAGACATTCCCCCATTTTTCAAATTTGAAGGTAAAGTAGAAGAGAAATCAGACAATTAAAAATTAAAGTTTCTAAAAGGTTTTGTACACCAGATCAATTCTAAGCTGTGTAACTTGTGACTATTTTTAACTCTTAAGATTTTGTTTAGATTACAAAGCCCCTTAAGATCACCTTGTGATCTTAAAGCAAAAATGAGAGTGTGGGATTGGGAACTGGAACTAAGAATCGATGGTAAAACCCTACTGATTCTGAGGAAAAGATAAAACCAGGTAGAAGAAACTAATTGTAATCCTTCTTCCACCTTGCTATGGAGTTGGCCCTCTCCTGCTCCTTTCCTGGCAATCTCTAATCCATCACCAAATTCTACAAGGTTTTCCTTTACTGTATTGCTTGGACCTACTCGTTCTTATTTCTTTTGCCAATGATTACCCTGATCTAAGTTCTAATCATCTATTTTAATTCTGTCCTAGCCAGCTCTTTCCTTTAAATTATCTTAACGCATAAGCATCATTTTGATGATATATATCTTTTCTCTAGTTCAAAATGACTCTCAACTGCCTTGAAAAAAAGATTTCTATTCATGCAGCATGGTAAAGGGAGCTGAATTTGGAGTCAAGTGTTCTTGGTTCAAATTCTGGCTCTAATAGGTACTACCAGAGTGACTATAAACAAATCCTTCATCTCCCTAAGTTATGGTTTCCTCACCTCACCAAAAGTTCCTTCCATCTCTAACTCTAGGATTCTATGATTTTCCTTCAAGGCCTTCCATTGATTGGTTCTTCCAACCTTCTACCACCATTTTTTATTTTTCAGCTCAGATGGTTAACTTGCTGAGATAGTTGTGCTATAAATTTGCAGCCAAGAATTTGGGGAAAGTTAAGATGGAGAAGGGGAAGAGAAGAGAGGGAGAGACAATGAGAATGTGTGTGGTTGGGAGGGATTAGGATGAACAGGGGTTACTTTAGGATTCAATTGCAAGGATTTATGTTTATAACTGAGCTCATGTTTTGATATTCTCTGCCCACATTATAGAACAATGAATGAAATGTCAAATACCCACTTGTGGCTGAAAGGTCCAGTTACTGTGTCTAAAGCATAAATAAGGAAATTCCTGGAGCTCAGAGATTATGATGTGGCGGGGCGGGGGGTTGTTTGCTTTTTTCTCTGGGGTGAGGAGTGGGGGTGGAGAAAAAAGACCATAACAAGTCGGGTCTAATGTGTTCAGGAGAGAAAAGGAGAGTTTTAAACCAGATCATGCATGCTAATTTCCCCAAAACATGAATTTAATTTCAGTTATTATAGAATGATGGGAATATCTGAGTATTCTTCATTAGATTTTCTAACTTAATTTGGGCATAAGAGGGCATGTAGTACTTAATGCCATAAATTTACAAATGGGGTTTCTTAGATATAGGCATAACATAAATATGTAAGTAACCACTAACATGTAATAGTGGTAACTGTTTTGCATCCTGCTTAGGATGATCTAGAAAACAAAGAACACCAGAAGGAGGCAAGAGAGGAGCTAGTAAAATAGTACTAAGACAGTTCTTAGAATGTTTAGTTCACAAATTAAACATGGAAGTTGCTTCAATCTTTCTCTCTTTTTTTTAAACATTAAGATGGCAAACTCCTCTGCTTGAAGCTTGCAAGACTATTGTCAAGACAAGGTCTTATATTTCTGATCCACTTCTGACAGTGTCCTAACTTAAAGGAATTGATTTTTATTTTCCTGTTCTAGAACCCAACAAAATGAGAATGATAATTCAATACAACTTTAAAGAATTTCACTCCCTTTGAGAAAGACTGCTCTTCCTTTAAGGAAGATTATTTCTTTTCTAAAATATCTATCATCATCAATGCATTAAAAAACTCCAAGTACAAGCACCATTACTGGACACCACAGACTTTTTTCTAGAACATGTCTTACCCAAGTCATTGTTTTTCGTTATAGCATTGGCTGCCCTGGTTCGTGGTCCCTGTTGTGTAAACTGATATCCAAATTTAAGAATCTTTGTGTTTTCCTCAAGCATCCTGGCCATTTCCAATTCAACAGCTGTCCCCAACTGCTGCCTCTAGAATGTAATTACAAACAGAATATTATTAACAAACTTGAATAAATTACTTCCCACAGAAAGCCATGCCTAATACAAATAGTCAGGAGTATATGAACGTGTGCTGTTTTCTCTTCAGATTTATCCCAAAATAGGTAAGAAAAATGAACAAGATTCAAAAGTTTCGTTCTCTAAAAGAAGATGTGAAAAGCTGTAGTCTAAATTCTGAATCTATGTTAAGTGTTTTTGAAGTACAGATCTTTCTTTCTCTTTTCTGTGAAAAGATGACTATTCTAGGTAGCACAAAAGGTGACCACTCTGAATTTGTTATCTCTGAAGAAATAATGGAGATCAAATTATGAGTTTGCAAACGCATTTTTTTTAGAATAGCAGCAAGCTTTCAAAAATCATATACTGTTAACACCTCATTTATCATCAAAAAAATGTGTTGTCCCTACATGGTGAAGTTTTCCTCAAAGTGCTAAAACTTTTTACTTTACCCATTTTGGATGGGGATCATTTTTAAATATACTTTCTTTTCTTATGGTATGCTGGACATAATTTAGCCTTTTCTTGATTATTCAGGGTCTGAACATCAATTATTACACTGTACTATAACAGTGACGGGCTATGGAATGGGCTGAACAATTTTTCCATTGATGAAATAGCTTCATATAGTCATGCTTTTTAAGGTTTTGTCCTTTTTATGTTATTTTTTGTCTCCTTCCTCATTTTTTAGGAAGTCAGCAGTAACCATGTCTGTCTCTAACAGGTTCCCTTTCCCCCAACACCTTTATATACCTCTTGTAACATACAAGCTATTGCAACCAGAGTAAACAGTAAATGCACAACTGTGGAGTTCTCCTATGAGTAAAGGGCACATGTGTTAATGAACTAGCACTGCGTCATTGACTTTGGCAACTCAGAGGCCTTCTTTGCTTTTTCTTGCCCCTTGGGGTTTTTTAAGTTATCTAAAACCGACAGAGAACAAAATCTTTCTAAGTGCTGGCTGATAGATATTAATACCTGAATTATTAATAGTGATATTCAAATTAGATTGTGGGCTGCATGGAACTGAACATGGTCAGGAAATATAGAAAATTAGAGGCCCTTCTCCCATGTGCTTATTTACAACAATCTCTCAGTGCTCTTTGACCTGGGTGGTTCCAACCTCCTAGCCCTGGGATTTCAAATAATAAGCTGCAATGCCCATATGGGAAGGGAGTGGCTAGAGCCCAACAGTAATACAGGAAAGCAGAATGGGGTTGATACTGGGACTCTTTCATTTTTTCTTCTAGTTTTTGCCCTAGCCAAAAATTATCCCAATTACTGAGGAAACTAGAGGATAGGAACCAGAGAGACAAGGTTCTAATGGACTTGGCAATTGTTTAACACTGGCTAAACTGCAATTGTCTTTAACTAGTAAAATGAGAAAGGGCAGTAAAAAAATTACTGAAGCAGTTGCTTATTATTTGAACCCGAGGCTCTAGAGAGGATCAGTTATATGTCATAGTCATCACTAGGGCTCCTGGTTTGGTACCACTAGTGAAATCTGACAATCTGCATATAAGCTCTTGAGGGACCCTACCTCCAGACTTCCAAATGAATACAAATCCCCTCCCTGTGCAATCTAGCTTAACAGTTGAGTGAAAAAGGCCATCAATCCCTTCTGAAAAGGGTGCCATATTCTCCAATGAGGATGTGCCTGGACAACTGACGAATATGATATCTAAACTAAGGTCCTGACATAATCTTTAAGGGTCATTTCCATTTAGGTCATTCAAAAGTCAACAGGTCAGCTTCTCCAAGGGCTAGTCAAGTTCTGGCATGGTAATTACTGAGTATAAGCTGGAAATGATAGTTCATTCCTTTCCATGTCCTTTTTTGCAAACTTTGATCACAAAACACACTTGTTAAATTGAAGTTTTTGGATGACATCTTGCTCACAATTTTTCTAATTAGAAATTCAATTTTTTTTTCTTTGGATTATCAGAGCTTGAGTCAAATGCTTACACTCTTTTCTAGGGCCATTCCACAGGCTTTTGGTTCCATGTGATTTCTATAATCAGTGCTTATCCTGGGGGCATGGGGGAAGAAAGGAATATATAGAATGTTATCGTGTATTTATTCAGGAGAAACGGAAACTATCAAACCACAAAATTTCATAAGGGACTGGCTGGCATGCCCTCATATAGAGTCCCATTCCCATGTTTTCCCCTCTGACTTCAATGAACGAGGGTACTTGAATATATTAGGAGACAGATAGGTCCAGCCTGAAGGAAAAGCAGTAACAGTCTTACTTTACAGTGGAACACTGCTAAAACAGAAAACCGAGCTGCTACCTGCATAGCATCCTATGGTGACTGGAAAACCCTTGATCGTTGCTCATGAAAAAACAGAAGTCTGCATTAGAAGCAAAAGCAATTCAACTATTTTTTTAAAGTCCTGCATTAGACTATTTAGCTAAGATTAATAATACATGTATGCCCCTCACAACTTCCCAATTATGCAAAGGTTTAATGAAAATTTTAATAAGCATAACTCTCCAGCCCACTATCCACCCAGAGAGCCCTTCCCATGGACCCTACAGACTCTGACCCTTCCTTTTCTTGACCTCCAAAGCACTGCAGGAGTTGCTTTGGACTATAATTATAACGTATTATTACTGTATCTAATTAACCTGGTTATCAATCTTGATTTCAGCCAGGGTTTCATTTTCTTTTAAGGCATCAATCAGTGCTTGAATACCAGCTCCTGTAATAAAATTGGACTCCAAATTTAAGCTCTTTAATGTTTTATTCACTTTCAGCATGTCTGCAAATGCCTAAAAATGAAAACAAAAATCAAAATTAAGATTTCATAGACTGGATTAAAAAAGTTCAAGATACTGTTAATACTTTAAAATATATTTAGATTTACTAACGTCTACTTGATAATTCTTTATGTGGCATCTTTTTTTTTTTTTTTAACATATTATCTTAGCTCTACTCTACCTATTTTAATCCTAATTTAATCCCCCAATCTCCATTCTGGAAAAATTTGGACATCTAAGTCTTTTAATCCCCTTGACCTAGGATAGAGAAGACAAAATTTACTCTTCTATCAATATGCATGTAATAGTCTCAGAAAGTCAACCGTCATTGGTCATGGAATCTTCACAAGTATTTTAAAATTGTTAATTCCTAAATTTATAAAAAATATTGACATATTTAATTACCATATCTAACTAAAGCCAGAGGCCTTTATTTCATTGTATTTTCATTGTAATATTTCATTGTAATTTGGTATAGGGAACTCCCAGATGAGGAAATTCCCTCTACTGATGCATGGTAGGTGCTATGATTAATCCCATTTTATATTCACTGATGGCCTTTCAGAAACTTGAAGACCATATCCCTCACTAAATCTTTTTTTCTTCAGGCTCTTCTCCATGATCTTGAAGTCAACCCTTCATCATCCTGGTCACCTTTTTCTGGCTGCTCTCCAGTTTATCAATGTTCTGCCTAAAACATGGTACCCAGAACTTTCACCCTCTCATTCTGAACACTTTATTTCTCTTAAGGCAGCCTAAGACTACATTAGAGTTTTTTCGGCTGCTACATCACAACTACTGACTCATACTGAGCTTATATTCCCCTTAAATCCCAATATATCTTTCATATGAACTGTTATCTAACTATACTCTTCTCCATTTTGTACTTGTAAAGTTATTTTTTTAAAACCCAAGTGTTTAAGATTTTACATTTGTCCCTATAAGTTTTATCCTATTAGATTTGGCCCAACATTCTAGTTTGCTGAAATCTTGACTTTGTCAGCTAGTATATTATCTATTCTTCTCAGTTGTATGTCACTTACAAACTTGATAATCATATCTATGGTTTTATTAAAGTCAATGTAGAAGAGCATTCCCTACCAAGCATCCCTCTAGAGTTCTTCTGCCAAGCTACCAACGTCCCTTACTGATTATTCTGGAAATCCAGTAATTTGAACAGTTTTGAATTCCCATAAATTATGCTACTGCCTAGGCTACACTGCTCTACCTTCTCAAAAAGAAGCATGAAAGACTGTGTCAAATGTTTTGTTACAATCAAGATAAACTAAATCTATAGCACTTCCTAATCTACCAGCCTATTAATCCTGTTTCAAAAGGAAATAAGGTTAATCTGGCATAACTTTTTATTAATGAAGCTATGTTGGCTCGTTGTGATCATCATTTCCTTCTCTAGATATTCACTCCCTATCCCTTGAAAAATGTTCTAGAATTTTGCCAACTGACCCCATTCTCTTGCTCTCTCAATCTCTCTCTCTGTCTCTTTTTTTTTTTTTTGGCAAATTAAGACAGTATATGCCCTTCTGCAGCCCCCTGGCACCTTGACCATTCTCCAGAAATCATGTCAGTATGTTTTTTCAATACTGTGGGATTCTAAATCTAGTGACCTGAACTTATCAAAATAGCTTTGTGCTTTTTTTTGTGTTTTTAAAGCTTTGGGTTACAAATTTTCTCCCTTCCTCCCTCCCCACACACCCTCTTTGAAAAGGCAAGCATCTTGGTACAGGTTACAGATGTGTAGTCATGCAAAAGACTTCCATAGTAGTTCCTGTTGTGAAAAACTAAGTATATTTCCCTTCATCCTATCCTACCCCCCATTTATTCTACTCTCTCTTTTGACCCTGTCCCTCCTTAAAAGTGTTTACTTCTGATTATCCCCTCCCCCAATCTGCCCTCCCCTCTATCAACCCCCTGCTCTCTTGTCCCCTTCCTCCCTTATTTTCCTGTAGGGTAAGATAGATTTCCATATCCAACTGTGTATGTTATTCCCTTCCTTAAGCCAAATCCTATGAGAGTAAGATTCACTCATTCCCTCTCACCTTCCCCCATTTCCCCTCCACTGTAAAAGCCTTTTCTTGTCTGTTTCATTTGAGATATTTTACCCCATTCTACTTCTCCCTTTCTCCTCCCAGTATAATCATCTCCCACCCCTTAATTTTATTTTCCAGATATCACCCCTTCATCTTCAACTCACCCTGTGCCCTCTGTCTATACATACATATATTTTTTTTCCCTCCTACTACTGTAATACTGCCAGAGGACTCATGAGTTACAAATATCATCTTTCCCTGCAGGAATGTAAACAGTTCAACCTTAATAAGTCTCTTATGATTTCTCTTTCCTGTTTACCTCTTCCATGTTTCACTTGAGTCTTGTATTTGAAGGTCAAATTTTATATTCAGCTCTGATCTTTTCCACAGGAATGCTTGAAAGTCCCCTATTTCATTGAATGACCATTTTTTACCCTGAAGGACTATACTCAGTTTTGCTGGGTAGGTGATTCTAGGTTGTAGTCCTAATTCTTTTGCCCTCTGGAATATCATACTCCATGCCCTCCAGACCTTTAATGTAGAAGCTGCTAAATCTTGTATTATCCTTATTGTGTTTCCACAGTACTTGAATTGTTTCCTTCTGGCTGCATGCAATATCTTCTCCTTGATCTGGGAATTCTGGAATTTGGCTACAACATTCCTAGGAGTTTTCCTTTGGGGATCTCTTTCAGGAGGTGATCAGTGGATTCTTTCAATTTCTATTCTGCCCTCTGGTTCTAAAATATCAGGGCAGTTTTCCTTGATAATTTCTTGAAAGATGATGTCTAGGGTCTTTTTTTGATCATGACTTTCAGGTAGTCCAATAATTTTTAAGTTCTCTCTCCTGGAACTATTTTCCAGGTCAGTTGTTTTTCCAATGAGATATTTCACATTCTCTTCTATTTTTTCATTCTTTTGGATTAGTGTTACAGTGCTTTATTTCTCAAATTGTCCCTAGTTTCCAATTTCTCCATTCTAATTTTTAAGGAAGTATTTTCTTCAGTAAGCTTTTGGACTTCCTTTTCCATTTGGCCAATTTTGCTTTTTAGGGCATTCTTTTCCTCATTGGCTTTTTGGACCTCTTTTGCCATTTGGGTTAGGCTATTTTTTAAGGTGTTATTTTCTTCAGTATTTTTTTGGTCTCCTTCAGTATCACTCTCAGTTTTTCCTCTACTTCTCTTACTTGCTTCTCAAAATCCTTTTTGAGCTCTTCCATTGCCTGGGATCAATTCATATTTTTCTTGGAAGCTTTGGATGTAGGAGCTTTGGCTTCGCTGTCTTCTTCTGGTTTTATGTTTTGATCTTCTTTGTCATAAAAGTAAGATAATATAGTCTGACTCTTATTGCGCTGCTTGCTCATGATCTCAGTCAATTACTTGAGTTATAGACTCTGTGTTAAGGCAGGAGTCTGTTTCCAGTGTGGAGAATGTACTGTTCCAAGATTCAAGGAGTTTGTGCAGCTGTTTTCAGAGATACTTCCAGGGACCTGTAAATTATCAGTTCTTCCAAGGTGCTATGACCAAGGGCGAAGTGTTTACTCCTTTCCTGGCCTGTGCTCTGGTCTATGAGCACTCTTTTCTGTCTTGGAACTGTGAAGAGGGTTTCCTCTCCACAGCCACTACAAGCTCCACCACGCCAGGACCACCACCCAGAACTGTGACCCAGATCCAAGCATGGGCAAAGCAAGAGAATCCTGCACCAGCAGAGAGATCCCTGCAATCCCCCTCTGATCAGCCACTCGATTCCTCCTCAGTCTGTGGGCCGGAAGCTCAGGAAGCAGCTGCTGCCCCAAGGAATGGGGCTGGGATCCTGCGCTCCTCTCTCACCACCTCAGTCACAGACTTTTCCCACTGACCTTCTAAGTTGTCTTTGGCATTCCTGGGTTGAGAAGTCTGGAAACCGCCACAGCTGCCCTTGATTCAGTCCTCTGAGGCCTGCTCCAGGTTCTTTGAGGCCTGCGCATGCCCTTGATTCAGTCCTCTGAGGCCTGCTCCAGGTTCTCTGAGGCCTGCACACCCATGCCAAACTGCGCTCCTCTTCCAGTCTGGCATGATATACCTTTCTGATCAACTATCCAGGCTGTCTTTGGCTGGAAATTTGTTTCACTCTGTCTTTTTGTGGGTTCTGCTGCTTTAGAATTTGGTTAGAGCCATTTTTTACAGGTATTTGGAGGGGTTTGGGGGAGGGCTCAAGCAAGTTACTGCTTTTACTCTGCCATCTTGGCTCCGCCCCAGCTATGTGCTTTCTTAGTCATCCTAATCCCGGGGTTCAACTTCCTGTGAGTCATTTTTTATTCAGTTCTTTCCAGTCCAAAGGTCACTGGCCTTAGTAAGTATTTGTTGACTGGCTAAAATGGAGGGAGGGGAGAGACTGTTCTTGGAAATAACAGAATGAGGGTCAGAAGATCTCATGCTGTGACTAGAGAACAGCATGTTGTCAGAAGGATCAGAGAGCAGGACCAAGTTGGAGGAAGAAGCAGGGCTCAATCTAAGGATGTGGGGTGTAAGACTAAGCATGAATAGTTGAAGAGAAAGCAATGAGCTACAGAGGAAAGAGAAATAGACTGGGAATCAGAAGACCTGGGCTCTGGTCTTGGTTCTGCCACTACTAGCTGTGTGACCTCAGACAATTCACCAAACCTCTTGGAGCTTCAGTGCCCTCATCTATAATGTGAAGAAGTTGGATTAGATGAGGCCCTTCGGCATTCTAAGGTTCTATAATTTTAAAGTAATAGCTAACATTTAGATAGCTCACTATGTGTCAGGCACTGTACAAAGCACTTTACAAATATCTCATTTGATCCTCACAACAACCCTGGGAGGTAGGTGCTATTATTACTCTTTCTAAATGAGGAAACCGAGGCAGACAGTGGTTAAGTGACTTGCCCAGAGTCACACAGCTAGGAAGTGTCTAAAACCAAAGATAACTCAGGTCTTCCTGACACCAAGCCCAGTGTGCTTACCCACTGTGTCATCTAGTTGCTTAAAATGTATGATTATGCAAAGTGCATTTTGACAGAATACAGAATACAAGTAATAAATAAGCATTATCTGAGCATCTACTCTGGTTGGCCCTGCACTAAGTGCTGAGGAGTACCAAAGTGGTACAAGGCAGAGGAAGATTACAATCCAGTTGGGGAGACAAGGCATATACAACAAAGAAATAATTAATGATTAAGAGAGAATCCATCAAAGAGCTAAACAGGACAATCTAAACAATTAGAGAAGAAGACAATAAACTGGATTTAAAGGCTGCAGTTTGGAGTGGCCTCCCCCTTCCACCCCCTCACACCTGGCTTTATATATCACCAACAGAAGCTTACTTACAACAGCAACAGGGTCATTGCTTCGGGTGGCTGCGAGACTGAAGCATGTCACATGGGTGTTGTCTTCCAAAGCTTCTGCAAATTCTTTGAGGGTTGGAATCGGAATATTCTTAAAAAAAGGAATTTGAAAAAAATTGAAATATTTTTATTTTTCAAAAGGAGTCATCTATTATCAATTGAATGTTTACAAGATGTCCTAGGTAGGGTAAGAGCCAGCTCCCAGAAAGAATATGCACAGTAATACAACTACAATCTACAAAAATAAACAATGCCCTCTGCTTTCTAGGTCCATTGCCTAAGGGTTCTACATACTCTTAAATCCACAAACTACAGCCTCAGGGTGTGATTTCACTATCTCAGATATTTAGAGAAATGGGTAACTATCTAGGAAATCCTTTTCATCTCACAAATGAGTGATTGTGATTTTTAATATTCTTAATTAAATTGAGCAGCTAGGTGGTCCAGTGGATAAAGAGGTCAGTCTGAAGTTAGGAAGACCTCAGTTCAAATCCAGCCTCAGACACTTACTCACTGTATGATCCTGGGCAAGTCATTTAACCCTGTCTGCTTCAGTTTTCTCATTTGTAAAATGAGCAAGAAAATCCCCCAAAAGGGGTCACGAAGAGTTAGACACAACTGAAAAAATGACCAAACAACAATATAAAGTGAAAATCCAATTTGGTTTGAAGCATTTCATTTGTTAAAATTAGGAATCACTGAATCACTAAATTTCATAGATGGAAAGGACCTCAGAAAACCACCTAGTCTAATTCACTAATATTACAGATGAAAATACCATTTCTGAGCCAGCTATCTTCAATTTATTTTTATGTTCTGGGGTAATAAGAACATCTTAATATTAGCCTAAAGTAAAACAAAATGTATCTACTACAAAACCAAACCAAATCATTTCAAAGTGAGTTGTCTGATTATCAATGACAAAACTATTCTCCATTAATCAGTAATTTGGCAAGTCTGAGATTCCACTGATGTGTACAGTTCATTGCCTTGAGGACCTATCGTAGGAAGTATAAAAGAATGAGAAGTCTTTTCTCTGAAACAATCAGAAAAGGTACGTTTATGACATGTTCTAACCTCTGTAACAGTATGTAACTTGATCTCATTTGGCTGTCTCTGACAAAGAAAGAAAGTTACAGGAGTAAATAAATTCAGGATGTTTTTAAACTGCATTCCCATAAATAACAAGTGTGGCTTGTTACATGCAGCTACTTACTGGCAAGGATAAAAAGCCACCAAAAGAGCTCCAACTCCAGGTGATTACTTAGTTTCTTAAAATTTTTCTATCTTTAAATTCTTAAAACTTATGGATGACCTCATTTCTTATTTTAGAAAGAAAGCAAAATGCCAGAAATAAGCAATAAATTTAAACTATTATTAAATCCATAATAATCTGCTCCTCAAAAGCAGTACCTAGGCTGAATTATTTAATTTTACTTTTGTGTAATTAATAAAAAACAAAAATGGGAAATAAAAGACCACCACAATTCCAAAAGCCCTCTCAGACATCTTTTCCACTGTTTTTTGTTTTGGTTTTTTTTGTAAGGCAACCGGGGTTAAGTGACTTGCCCAAGGTCACACAGCTAGTACGTGTCAAGTGTTTGGTCTGAGGCCGGATTTGAACTCAGGTCCTCCTGACTTCAGGGCCAGTGCTCTATCTACTGCGCCACCTAGCTGCTCCCACTGTTTTCTTAGAAGCTGAAATGGTTAAATCCAACTGTGATCTTGAGGGTAAGGTAATATGAAAGTGGAAGCAAGCATGACTAGCCCTGCTGAGAAGAACCACACTTTATGATTCCCTGTGCAACATAGCAAAGATAAGCTGATTCTGCTGTAGCTTTAAATTATTCTACATAACTGAGGAAAAGCAGGGACAAAGTAAACAAAAATTAGGCAATTTTTTTTTAAGAAATTTGAGGTGTTAAGTAGAGAGAAAATTCAAGACCAACAAATAAACTGAACTGGTAATTTTCTACATCTTCCAGGGAGCAAGCCAAGTCCAGAGAAAATAAGAGGTCAATGAACCTCTTGTCTTGCTACAGTTGTTCACCCTAATTCACAGCACTATCTATTCAGCTTTTCTCTCAAGGATTTTTCCTTTTATGAGACAATGCAGGAAATAATTTTTATAGTATATAGTTCCTAGGTAAAATCCTAGCTTTAAGTAATAACAAGAAATAACTGTACTGATTAAAAACCAGACAACTCTTATTCTAGGTTCTGATGGATAAAAAGGAATGCATTATGATTTTTTTTTTAGGCAATTGGGGTTAAGTGACTTGCCCAGGGTCACACAGCTAGTAAGTGTCAAGTATTTGGTCTGAGGCTGGATTTGAACTCAGGTCCTCCTGACTTCAGGGCTGGTGCTCTATCCACTGTGCTACCTAGCTGCCCCCATATGATTTTATTAAATTAAAAACCTACCTATATATTCATATAAAACTGGGGATGGTCCTCTGTTCTTATGATAGGTGAATGTATAGAGTGTAGATATTGATGCATTCAAATTTAGATACTTCTTACATTCAACTGGATAAAAGCAATACAATACAGTCTTATTAATTCTTAAGAACTCACCTTTATATTATTCAAATTTACTTCAGTAAGACGAGAATCATTTTTCTTAATTCTCCGTAAGCTTTCCTCAACATTTGTAGGATTTGGTGGCTCATCAAACACTGGTAGCATTTTTTCACCCTTTACCACATCTATAACATACATGAATCAAGAACATTAACCTCACTGACTGCCTCACTGGTTGCCAGTACTCATATGCTTATTATGGATACAGAATCACTGAATCCATCATCCAGTAGAAGATTTTGTTCCTCACGATTACTCACATACTCTAAACTTTAACACTGCTGAACATTTTTAGGCAGTTGAATACAAAAAACGTAATCTTAGATTTGAAGTAACAAGTACACCCAGTCCAGTGAAAGAGAAAGAAGCGAGGGCTTTCCTAACACCAGGGACAGTATGAATCAAGGCAAAGCCTTGGCGTTGCAGTGCAGGTTTGGGGATCAAAAATAGTAATGAAAAAGACTGGGTGGTGGCAAGGTGAGGGAAGAGAGCATTTCTGGTCAATGACAAGATTAATATGAACCATGACTTGATAGGTTTAATAAAAAAAAAAATACAATCTCATGCTGCATTAATGGTGGTGTGGGGCCAGCAAATGGTAGGTAAGAGTTTTACTGTCAGGTCACACATTGAGGGAAACTGGCAAACAGTAATATGTCCAAAGACAGATCAAAAAAAAGGGCAAGGGGTCTAAAAACTGTGTCATCTGAGTGCATTTAACCTGGAGAAGGAAGGCAAAAGGAGACAAGATTGCCACCTTCAGGGCTGTCACACATATGAGGAAACAGATTTTGTTCTGTGTTGCCCCTAAAGGAATAATGAGAGCTAGGAAGGGAATTACAAAGAGGAAGACACAAGGTCTACATAGGCTCTAATGGAGGACAGGAAGCTTCCCTACCCTTGAGGCTTTACATAGGAACTGAAAGCTCACCATGCGGAAAGACGTAGAAGGGCTTACCAAGAGTATAAGGTTATACTACATGGCCTCTAATGTTCCTTCCAATTCTAAATCCTTTGATTCTATGAATCCAGAATAATTATATTGATACACAAATTTGTATTGATATATGTTTATATATAGCATATTTAGTAGGTTTCCAGCATGTGCACAGAAACATGCTGGTTCAGAAGTTATACACGTTTCTAACTTCTCCAGAATCAGAGCTTTACAATATGTTTTCATTATTCTATTTGAACTGTTGTAAGGTACCAGAACAAAGATTCTTATATTAAAATGTCATTGTAAAAACCTAAATCATTTTTGGATTATCTGCCATTTTATTAGACGCTCTTACAATCTAATTTCTAGTTGTGGCGGTAGTAGTGTTTTTTACTCTCTGGAATAAACTTTCAGCCAAGCAATTAAATATTAAATGTTGCATATTCATAGTATAAGTGATAAAATTAACTTACAAAAATACATACTTATATGTATAAATATATATAAACATATAAGAATATATGTAAGTGATAAAATTACCTTACATTAAAAATGGGTTTGAATATACAATGTACTTAAGTACTTACTTGAAAAATCATCTTTGCCCACACCACTGTTACTTCCTACTATATCACACAGTTGGGTGTTGGTTATCAAATTATGCATTCCAAGGATTGCTATAAATATAGAAAAAGGAAAAATTATTTCTTATTCAAATCCTTTTAGAATACATACAATTTATTTTTCAACTACCCAAAATAAACAATTTGAAATAATTTCTTATTAATTTGAAAGGTAGTTAAGTCCTCACTTTTCAACCTTCAAATTTTGCTGAGCCTTAATATCACTGGATTAATTTCCTCCCCACTCTAATCTGTTTATTCACCAGTTCCCCCATTCATAGTATCTTCTGCATCATCCCAAACATTACCACCCTCTTCTGGCAAAAAAAGGTAACTACAAGTTCACCTACTTTTCAGAGTTTGGTCTGGACTGGTCATTTCATTAGTCTACAGAACTCCTGGGGAGGAAATCCCCTCTCCCAAAGCATGTCAGCCAGCAATTGTCCTACAAACTATAGTATTAAACAGTTACCTGGGGCACGGAGAGGTTAAGTGATTGCTCAGGGTCACAAAGCTAGTGTCACAGGCAGAACTCAACACAGATCTTCCTGACTGAGGCCAATTTGAATCTGAACCCAAGTCTTCCTGTTAGACCTACTCTTTATTTTAACCCCCTCTATCAAGACTGCCTACAGTCTTGATTACGAGGCTAAAATATTAATATTTTGAAGTTCTGCTTTCCAAATCAGTTTTCAGGATTGAGCAAGAACTGACTGTATGTCACAAAATTTCTTGTACTCCATTTGCCCCTCATTTTTTTGTTTTAGGTTACTCAACTTCACCATCATCATCAATAAACATCTGACTTCCTATCAGGCATATAAAAACACCATGTTGTGGGAAGAGACTGACTGTTTAAGTTATGACTGCACTACTCAAAAGCGCCACTTTGGAGGGGAAATTTATTTTACCATCTTTCACAAAAATTAGGCTTCAAGTGTAAGTTATATAAAACGCTTTTTGGTACATTCCACTCTGATGAACATATCATTTAATTATTTTAAGGGGTTATTATCCTTATATCTACCCTATAAAATACTACAGAAGGTGGGAGGATTGCATATCACTATTTGCTGTAGATATAAAATACATACTTAGAGCAGGTAAATGTGAATCAGCCACGACTCTGTCCATCTAACTAATGAGGAATCAACCCTAACTATACCCTATGATTTAGTCTTTATCACGGTTGGGTTTTTTTTCCCTCCTGAAGACCACTATTCACCTTTTCCATTCAGGGAGGGAGAAAGAGAATTAAGTACTACAGAAGCATATGTTCTGTGCCTAGGCCATAGGAGTGGGCCCATTTGAAAGCAACAGTGATGGCTCTGGTTCTTTCCCTGACCACTTTCTGGAAAACAAGCAGAATAATAAGTATGACCAAGCAACAGCAACCACTCTGCTACCTGCCAGTCATTACTGCCCAGCCATCTGAATCATGTGCTTGCACAGGGCAAAACTCAGTACTGGTTTAAGAAAAAAAAAAAAGGATCCTTCTACTGCCTAAATATTTGGGTTGACACTCAGCCCCTCCCTTCCTATGGGAAACCTGCCAACCGAGAAAGTATTTTTATAAAGATTTCTGTGTTTGGTTTGCAACTGTCAACTTGGGACAAGCTAAAAGTAAAATAAACCTTATCAATATAAAAATTGCACTACAAGATTTAGTGGAAACCTCTTCTCTGAGATTGATAGTGCCAAAGATAAAAATCAAACATATTTTCAGAGCACCAATGAGATAATAGTTAATCTGCTGAGGTAAGAACATATACCTATTTGCATATACATGTATTAGTGGAGACAGAACAGTACAGAACACCAGAAGAAGAGTCAGAGACCTAGGCTTAAATCTCAACTCTACCACTAAGTAAAGTAGACAATATTCAGTGAGCTAATGACGTGACCTCTCTGGACCTCAGCCTCCTTGAGGGGCTTCCTGAAGTGGTCTCCTTCTAGTTTAAACAATCAGTCAATCCATAAGCCTTCATTAAGTATATATTATGTACCAGCACCAATGCCATACACTGGGCTACAAAGATAAAACTTAAACAGTGCTTGTCGTCAAGGAGCTTGTTAAATTTTGTCAGGTGTGAGGGAAGAGACAAAATGAACATAGACATATACAGACAGGTGTCCCAAAAGCTTAAAACTGCACTGAGATTTTTGGGACACCCTGTATGTAAAACAGAAGTAATTTTAGGGGGTAGCAAATGGGAGAATCAAAAAAACTTCATGTAGGAGTTGGTGTTAGGAGATGAGTTTTGAATTAAGCCAGAGATTCAATGAGGAAAAGATGTGAAGGGGAACACATTCCACGCACTGGAGACTGCCAGTGAAAGGAATGAAGACAAGAGATGATGTATCACTAGAGAAGCAGGTGTAGAATCTAGGAATCATCTGAAGAGAGATGTTAATTGAATCTATGGGAGCTCATGAGGTCACCAAGTTACCAAGAATATAGACAGAAGAGAAGCGTTCCAGGACAGAGCCTTAGGGACATCCATATCTAGGGGTTGTGACACAGATGATGATCCAGGAAAGGAGACTGAGAAGGAGCTTTCAGACAGAAAAAGGAGAACCAAAAGAGAGCAATAAATATCAAGAAAATCCACAGAGGAAAGAGTGAATAGAGAGGATAGTCAGTGTCCAATGTTAACAGGAAGATGAGGATCCAGAAAGGCCATTAGACTTGGAAATTAAAAGACCACTAGTAACTTTGAAGACAGCTATTTCATTTAAATGATAAAGTAGGAAGCCAGACCCCAGAGGGCTAAGAAGTGAGCGAGGGGTGAGGAAGAGGAGAGAATGAGTGTATGCAGAATTTTCTAGGGTTTTGGCTGTGAAAGGGAGCAAAGACATGGGATAGTAGCTTGAGAGGATGGCAGGATATACTGAAGGTTTTTTAAAGATAAGGGAGACTTGGGTACATTTGTAGGAAACAGAGAAGCAACCAGTAGATAGGGAGAAATTGAAGCTGGAGGCAGGGGATCATTTTGGGAGCAATTGGCTAGAGAATACAGAATATACATGTAAAGAAGTTGGCCTTAGCAAGGAGGAAGGCCATCTCTTAATCAGAGACTAGAGTAAAAAGGAAATGACTGGGAATAATATCAAAGGGTTTTGATACATAGAGATGGAAAAAGGGAGCAATTTTGATAAAGGAATTCTATAATTTTTAATTGTGGAAGTAGTATTCTTGTTTTTGATGGTGAGAGTAAAGTTATAAACTTCCCTATGTATATATAGCTAAGGTAGAGAACTAGGTCTTATGAGCTGAGGAATTAGGAGATAAGAGTGGTTATCAGTACAAGAGTCTCCAAGTATAAGGCAAGAGTTGGGGTAGTGAAGAAGATTGTGAGCTACGTAGTGAGTTCCTTGAGAAAGGAGGGAGGTTAGTGAGTCTGACTTGACAACCAAAAGATAACTGTCACTAGGATCTGGATTGGATAAAATTTGAGTAATATGAACCTCAAAGGAAGAGATGATGCTGAGTGACTGTGTCAAAAAGAGAGTCTGGGGAGGGATAAAGGGTATTCTGACTCCCCTCATAAAGGGCCAATATATTATGGGGTATGAGAAAAGGGGCTGAATAGATGCTGAAAAGGGCCTGGGAGATGCCAAGTCTCTGTGAATACCATAACATGGAAGAAGGTTTAAAATGAAGGGAATTTCACACGCACACACACACACACACACACACACACACACACACGCATGCATGCGCACCCTACTACATTTTGTTTTAAAAGAGATACTTACCTGCAAGGTCACACAATTCTGTATCAGAAGCACTTGTTAAAGCCTCTTCTAATTCTGGATCAAGGGATATTTTTTCTTCTGTATAAGACTGTATGGGTTTCTGTTTAGGGATAAATATTTTCCCTGTAAAATAAAATAACCTATTAATCCTCTTGACTTACTATCATAGGATTTATATTATACTTACCTATATGTATCTACAGCTGAAGAAAAAGGCAATATCAAAGCAATTGAAAAACCTGTCTAAGTAGATAAACATCTCTAATAATTTAATTTGCTCCTCAGATATGCAAAAATGAACCTATTTTTGAAATATTATAGGAGTAGTACTATGAATGAAAGAAACAGGAATAATCAGTTGAGAAGTTTTCTAATCACTATATACCAAATTACATCTTTTTTCCAGGGTCACACAACTAGTAAGTGTTATGTGTCTGAGGCCGCACTTGAATTCAGGTCCTCCTGAATCCAGAGCCGGTGCTCTATTCACTGTGCCACCTAGCTGTCCTCCAAATTACATCTTCTTCTAGGAGTATACTATCTAACCTTAAAAGATTCAGCATTAAGATGTAAAAAAAAAAAAAACTTTTTTAAACTATCATACATAAATAATAAATATAGCTAGCATCTCTTTACAGTTGACCAAGGTTGTGGAAGTTCAGGAACACAAAGTCCTAATTTCAACAAGTTCTAAATATCCCAAAGTCTATGGTAAAATTTCTGATCATTGTTCCATAAGTTTCACATATTTAGTTTCAGAGTCTGTGTCAATGGCATCTTCCTCTCAACAAGTTCACCTTTTAAAAGTTGGTTATCAATAAAAAGCACAGGCCTCAATTTTTATAGGAAAATGAATCAACATACTCTAACCCCGGGGGGGGGGGAACCTGAGGCCTCAAGGCTACATGTGGTCCTCTAGGTCCTCAAGTATAGCCCTTTGAATGAATCCCAACTTCACTGAACAAATCCTTTAAGGGGATTAAGAGGCTTCATGTGGCCTCATGAAGCCACAGGTTCCCCAGTCCTGCTCTAACCATTTCAAATTTATAACCAGTAATTACATTAATAATAATCAATGAGTAAAGACTAATATTATGATTCAATTATACCATAAGGTGATCCAGAAACAAGAGGCTTATATACAGGTCAGGAGAGGCTATCACGAGATATTTTCTGGCTTCTTCCTAACTGAATTCATTTCAGAAGTCCAATTTTCAAAAAATGGCAAGTAAAACTACTGTCTCTTTTCTTCACACAAGGGTCTGCCAGCCAACATGGCAAAGTAATCCTTAATCATATGTCTATGAGCAAAGTAATCCCATATACCACAAAGAGTGTTGCGAAAGCAACCCAGAACTAGTGCACATAACATAAAGTAGTCCAGAAACAACAGGTTTGATTTGCCTTACGTTGCTAGCTGAACTCAGACCTAAGTCGGTATAATGGGGCTGAATCTCAGCAAAGACTAATAACTACTAATAATCAAGGGCTGTCTATTGCTTTCCTGAGAGAAAGAGCTTTATTTGATCTCATCATACATACAATATACACTGACGACAAGGGTACACTAAGCACTGCACCAAGTTACATGGGGCGTTATGAAGCAAACGAGAAAACAGTTCCTGTTCTCCTGGAGCCTACAATGGGCAGATTGCAATATTTACTTTACTACTTATACACTCTATATACAACATACACTCTACTACTGCTCCATGTTTAACCTAAACTGGTCCTGCTCTCTATCATCTACCTGCTAATTGTAGATGACCACAACTTTGTAGTAAAAAGATGGCAGTAGAAAGAAGAAACGAGGAGAATCTGAGGTCAGATCCAGCCCTGAATTAAGCCAGATTTTGAGGATTATGAAGTACATGGCTTAGCACTGTAAATTCTTCAAGTAACCAACAAAACTTTACTAAATGCTTACTATTTGGAAAATACAAATAGGAGGCACAAAAGAAATGGAAAATACTGTTTCAAGAAATTGAGGAGATGAAAACGCCCAATGGTTTTTGCTAGAAGTTAACCTCTATATCCATAACTCTAACCTCTTCATTTATGACTTATTCAAATCAAATTACTGAATAAATAATTTACAAGATTAGACAAAACAAAAATGAAATGGATTTGAAGGAATAAAAGTTCAAGAATATCAAGAATATAAAGGGTGCTTGGTGCTACTAGATCTCAAATTACATTACAAAACTGTAAGTAACAAAACTATCTGTACTCAATAAAAAAAGACAGGCAGTCATGCTAATTTAAGATGGGTGTCACTGTGAACTTGTTCAGTCATTCTAAAAAAAAAACCACAACAGTTTGGAATTATGCAAGAGAAGTTACTATATTGGGGCAGATACGTGGCATAGGGGATAGAACACTGGCCCTGGAGTCAGGAGGATCAGAGCTCAAATCCCGCCTCAGACACTTGACACTTACTAGCTGTGTGACCCTGGGCAAGTCACTTAACCCCATTGCCTATCCCCCCCAAAAAAAGAAAAAAAAGAAAAGTTACTATATTGTCCACATCTTTCAAACCAGGAGTCCCACTTACACCCCAAGAAGGCTAATGACTGTAAGAAAAGAACTACCATTAGCACTTTAATATCTGCAGCACTATGTAGGATTACAAATATGTGCCCATGACTGGGGAACAACTAAACTATAAAAACAATCAGATATTACTGTAGCTTATGGAATGACAAATACGAAGAATTCAGAGAAAGAGGAAGATTCACATAAAATGATGGACAGCAAAGAAAGCAGAGTCAAAAGGATAGTATACACAATAACTATAACGTAATAAGTAATACTAAGAAGCAATAAAACTAAAGTAAAATACAACAAACAAGGGTAAATTACTAGTGGAAAGAAATACACCCTATTACATAGTTAGTGCTTCACTTAACTATTTTCTTGTGTTGAAAGAAAACATCAAAACAATTTCTTAAAATAAAAGTTAAGAAATGACTTAATAAAAATGAAAGAAGGTTACCAACAAGCCGCTCAGAAAACCAGTAGTAAAAGTCTTTGGAATAAAGGAAGGGTGATATGGCACCAAACAATGGCTCACATAGTAAAAATTCTGGTCAAAATCCGGAAGCCAAATTTTAGTATTTTCTTGGGTATTAGGAAGATTGCAATAAATCTAGGAGGAAATAAATCTAGAAGTCATTTTCTTTGCTTCCAAACACTTCAACTGTGGAACTCATAGGAGAACACAGGCCGCTTGCAGAGCTTAGACCTCTTAGAGGCTAGAGATATTATCATTTATTCTATCATCCCTGGGATGAAGCCATGGATGAAGATTGGTACTACAGGATAAAAGACCTAAGGATGCCTACCCCCTGAACCCTCTCTCCCTTACTTTGCAATTAGGATAGGGTGAATGCATTAGCCAGATAGCTAACTCAGAAACAACAGGATTATCTGATTAGTGAACAAACTGATCTCTAATGTCCCAGGGCTGATGGGTGAGGCTTCCATCCATATGGCTTGGTGGTGCTCACTGGCACAGTACCATACACTGGCTCCAAGAAAGGACTGAACACAGAAAATAGTATATGTACGGTCTACTGTACGCAACACTTACTTATTACTCTACTGGGTGATGTAAATAGGTAACTATATATGACCCAGGTATCTGGTATACTCTGCAACGAACCTGTGCTATATGTAGTAATGTGATGGCTGTTGCATGATAATGAACCATATACCTGCACAGTATTACAAGGCTCTACATTCAGTTGATATGTGTCCAAAAGATTCAAACTAACTTTAAAATCTTTAAAATCTGTTTCATAATTTTATATCTATAAAATATTAAATCTCTCCCTATTGTCCCCTACACTTATGCTTAAGTCTCCTCCATCCTTGAATTCCCTAGCAACCTTTCTATCTTGGAAATATGGAACATCTTCCAAAAGCTTAGAAATAAAACAGTCCTAATTCATAAAATATTGCTAACAAAGCATGAATCATTAAACTCATTTCATATAAATTACATTAGTGCTGTTTTTCTAAATGATCATTCCAACCCCTGAAATCAGGAACAGTAACATGATCACAATAAGACTTTTCTAATCTTGTGTAAAGAAAAAGCATGCTCTACTAGGTTAATGTCTATTAATACATATGCTCAGTTACTAACTGTTCCCTCAGGTGATAGGAAGTCATATTGTCAGGTTGACAAGACCTCAAGCCTCCAACATTAGGGCCACTTTTAATGTTGCTGACATTTAATGATTTTTTTTAAGTTTAATTTGCATTAATGATATTTTCTCCATCACTTTAAGTCCAGAAAATTAAAAAAACAACAACAACCAGTAAATCAAACCTTGACTTTCTAGTGTTAGCTGATGTCCCAGGTATAAATGCGTAACAATAGGCTCTCGTGAGCTGTTTTAAACTGGTTGTTGCACAACCCTTCTGACAACATCACTTCCCTCACTACCGTTTCTAGAACTTGCTATACTTTCTCTCATAACCCCAAACTCACTGGGTGAGGTAGGAGTGTGGGAATACTCTGCTTCCCACTATCACGTCCAGACTCTCCCTTTATCACCATCATTCAGCAAGCCTTATTCCTGAGAGGTTCACATTATCCAAATTTAACACTCAATCCATATCCTAGTGTCTATTATCTATCCAATCCCCAGGGCATTCCCTTTTCTTTTTGAATTTATTTAGTATTTTATTTTCCCCCAGTTATATGTAAAAACAATTTTTAACATTCATTTTAAAATTTCTCTCCTTTCCTCCCTCCCTTCCTCCCACCTCATTGAGAAGGCAAGCAATTCCATATAGGTGGAATTTGCATGTGCAGTCATGCAAAACATTTCCATTTTAGTTATGTTGTGAAAGAAAACATAGATCAAAAAAATCCTCAAGAAAAATAAAGTAAGAAAAAAGAATGCTTCAATCTGCAATTAGACAATCATCAGTTTTCTCTGGAAATGGGAAGCATTTTTCATCATAAGTTCTTCAGAGTTGTCCTGGATCAATGACTGCTAAGAATAGCTAAATTATTCACAACTGATCATCTTAAATATTGCTGTTACTTTGTACATGGTACTTTTCACTTTTCGTCAGCTCATATGTCTTTTCAGGTATATCTGGGCGTA